TGGGTCACCTTTCTTTGGAATGGTTAACAAATATTGATCTCTTCCAGTCAATTGGCCAGCTGGCTGTCCTCCAGATTTCCTGGCACAACTTAGTGAGCACATCCAGGGGAGCGCCTGTTTGTTGATTTATTCAATTGGTATGCTGTCAACTCCTGTGGAGCCTTGTTTTTTGCCAATTCCTTCAGAGCAACTTGAACTTCCTCCTTCATCACCATAGGTTCTTGCTCATATGTTATTTCATGAAATTCCTCTGTGTCAGTCAATTGCTTCTGATACAGCGACTCTGAGTACTCCTTCCATCTTCTTTTTATACTTCCTGAATCATTCAACATTCTACCCAAACTATCTTTAAGTATTGCCACCCGTGGCTTGAATTTGTTTTTCAACTCCTTCAGCTTAAGAAACGCTGAGTGAGTCAGGTCCTTTTGATTTTCTGACTCCAGCTCTCTGCACATTTCATTTTAGTATTTTGCTTTGTTGTCCATACTATGTACATATTACAAGAAGGGACCAGTTCTTAGAGAGGGACATAACGCTTGGGAGGGTGGAGGGACAACGCAGGAGAGGAATACCCTCTAGAAAATGAACTGATTCAGTGACAGGGGTAAAGGATCATAGGTGTGTCAGAGGATTGGCACAGAACAGAGCTGGGTTTAGGGCTGTTGTACATAGGGGTACAGGTGACTTGACAGCACATAACAACAACAGTAGCAGTATCCCCTAGAATTGTTCAAAAGACTGCTTCTTGATCTTGGTATAGGTTTTGCATGACCACAATTAAAATGTTTTGGGATTCCTATTCTACTCAGTGTTTGTTAGTCACAATTCATTATAATCGGAGTAAAATGCCTTCTTCTTGTCAATAAAACAGAAGTAAGCATCTTTCTGGTATTCTCTGCTTTCAAAAAAGAACCATTTACCATCAGAAATGATACAGCATGGTCTCTTCTGAATCCAGCTTAAATTCCTCCTTCTTTGAGGATGAAGTGTCTAAAAAATTTCTCTAAGAAAAATATAATGTATATAAACAACAAACTTGTTAGTTAACAAGTTAGTAAACTTAGCAAGGAAAACACCTAGCTCAGTATCTTCCGATATTCTATATGTAACATGTTATATATAAAAACGCACGCACACACGGTGGGCAGGAGGGTAGAAGAAAATACCAGGAGAGTCATTTTCCTCTTAAAAAGAAAAATTTAGGGAGGCATGACAAGAATTTTATAATAGACACAAAAGCAATTCTCACCCTGTCTTCTTTCTTAGGCAACTGATCCTTGATGAGAGTCTTCGTACGCCTGAGAAACCAGCCAGATATCTTTTTTGCCAATCTGTGCATGATCTTTCGGCCTGTAGCTAGTTCTCTTTTTGTAGCTGTGTGTCTCTGACCATGTTCTACTGGGTCAGAAAAATGCTTCTTGAAGTGAATCCTGCTGCCCAGAAGTCCCGGTACAGCCCTTTACAAAGGAAATAATAGAATGTTATGGTCCTACTAAGTTTCTGAAAAGAAAAAAAAAACACCGATTAATTTTTGTTTTTGAAAAATATACCACTGCTTATGGATGACAGTAATTACAAAAGTCAAGAATGTATATGACAACTTTGGTCTATAGAATGATGGATTTGGTAAATTATCCTTGAGAGATGAAAAGAAATATAGATTTTAAATTGTAATATTAATACAAAAAAATCAATAAAAGAGTTGTTAGCTGGAGAATAACCCTATATTGCTTAAGTGACCATAACTTGTATTATAAATACAAAATATTAAGAAGATGCCACATGCAGAGATGGTCATGCTTTTGTAGGACTATCTCCTTGGGGTGTCATTTTGGTATTAAACATGTAAGGGAACAAATAATTAGTATATTCACATATCAGTGATGAACAAACAAGGTAAAATGAAACTAGAAAAGTAGTAAGTAATTTTTCAAAAAAGATGGTGTTTTTACTTACCAGTCCATAACACACCATAGTTCTTTCATGTTGTTTTGAAGAATGGTTCCAGTGAGTCCAATGCGGACATTACACTTTAAAGCTTTCATAACTTTTGTTACTCTAGTCTTTGGATTCTTTATTTTGTGAGCTTCATCTACAATGATGGCTGACCATTCCAAACTACAAAGTGAGAGGCAAAAGTAGGAGAAGAGTTGAGTAAATATCGCTATCCTAGCCATATAATATGTAGAAATTAGCTTTCTCAACCAAGGCATGTATCACAACCTTCAATATGGATTACATCTCAACATCAAGAAAACAAAGGTCCTCACCACAGGACCAATAATAAATATTACAACAGAAGGAGAGAAAGATATGAAGCTGTCAATAATCTTGCTTGGATCAATAATCAACACCCTCGGAACCAGTGTTCAAGAAATCAGGAGATTTATTATATTGGTCTAGTCTGCTTGTCAGGGTCCTCTCCAAAATGCTGAAGAGCAATGAAGTCAGTTTGAAAATTAAGGTGCACTTGATTCAGGCCATGATCTTCTCAATCACCAGAGAGCTGGACAATGAATAAGGATGACAGAAGAACTGATGCCTTTGAGTGGTGGTGCTGAAGAAAAGTACTGCATATTCCATAGATTTCCAAAAGAACAAACATATGTCTTGGAAAAAGGGTAGCCAGAGTGCTTCTTGGAAGGAAAGATGGCAAAGATGTCTTTCATACTTTGGACATTGTAGCTAGGTGATGCTATTCTTTAGAAAGGGACATCATGTTTAGAAAGATTAAAGGTCAGCAAAGGAGAAGACGACTCTCAACAAGATGGATTGGCACAGTGATTTGAGCAATGGGCTTGAGTGTATCAGAGATGATGAGGATTGTACAGGAAAGAAAAGGGCTCAGGTTAGTTGTTCACAAGGTCACTAGGAGTCATATTTGACCTGACAATACCAAACAACAACCACACCACCACAGTCCTAAACACTTACTTCCTTTTTCCTCTGATTTCATTGGATTATTAACCTCATTAGTTCGAAGATCAGGGAGAAAGGGGTACAAAGAATAAATGACTGAAGGAAAAAAATTTATTTCAGTCACATTAGAATGAAAAGGCTCTTTTTTTCAAAATGGCAAACCAAAGAAATAAATATAATAATAAAGTAGCAAAATACGCAATCTGAATTTGAATTTTAAAAATCAATATAAAATTAACACTTAAAACCATTACGTTTTATTACATAGCTCTGCCCACCAAAAAGGTTCGACCTATTCAGTGCCCTAATAGAAAGGGACACTGAAAGGCTGGAAGTTTAACTCCACCAGCTCTTCCTTGGGATAAAGACAGACTCTTCCCCTAAGCATGTTCAGCTTCAGAAACACAATGCAGAGTCACATGTCAGTCACACGTGAGACCACTCAATGGTAGTGGTAGAGTGTTCAATGCACCAAAAGGGACCAAGGGTTCAGTGAAAAGTCTGAACAGTCATGGAGCCAGGAAAACAGAAAATCAGTCAAAAACACAGCTAGAACCAAAGACAGAGAGATGTCTAAAGGCCAAAAGACCCAGTGAAATAAAAACACAAGTCCTATTTAAAAAAAAAAAAAAAGGTCAATGTACATCCATACTTCACACCATACATAAATAAAAACTCAGATATTATTGTTGTTGTTGTCGTTAGGTGCCACTTAGACAATGACTCACAGTAACCGTATGACAACAGCTCTGAACCCTCCTCTTTCCTGAGCCAACTCACTCATCTCTGACACACCTACCCTCATAATAGCAGTGTCAATCCATCTAATCTGAAGTCTTCCTCTTCTGTGCTGTCTTTCAGTCCTTCCAAGCATGATATCCTTCTCCAAAGACTGATTCGTCTTGGCTATACAGCCAAAGTATTTGAGACAGAGGCTCAAAATCCTTGTCCCCTAGGAATAGCATCATTTCACCTTCTCTAGAACAGCCCTGTCAGTTCTCTTGCCAGAATATGGCATGTTCAAATACTCTTCTCCAGCACAACTCAAAGGCATCAATTCTTCTGTCATCCTTAGTCAGTGTCCAGCTCTCTGATGCACAGCAAGCAATTACAAAGACTGTGGCCTGGAAACCTTAGACTGACATCCTTTCTCTTCAGCACTCTGGAGAGGTCCCTGCAGATTTTCCTCATGCAATTCCTCTTCTGATTTCCTGACTGATGGTGTCAAGAGTGCCGACTGTGTACTTGTTGTTGTTGTTCTTTATTCCACTGAGTACAGCACAACTCATAGCGACACTGTGAACAAAAGGCCTAAAGCCTTTCTATAATTATCGTTGTTTCTCCAAGTTCATATATGTTTTCAGAGGTATGTGGTTTAGAAGTGGATGCCACTCTTGCTTCCAAACCTGTCTTAAACTGGGAGCTCCACCAAACACTGTTCACTACAGGCAGCCATTATGACATGTGACTCCCAATGGCACAAGGTTCAGCATCACAGCAAACCCAGAATACCTCAGTGCAGCAAATTGAAAGGAGTGCTGTACAACCTAGAATAATGTTCCTTCAAAATAAAATAACACTAGACCCTTGGGCCCAATCAACTTTTAAATACAAGGGAGATAATATAGATATATGAACACAAACGGCCTGAAGCCTTTCTATAACTATCTTCAATTCTCCAAGTTCATAGAGTTTCCTTAGGCATGTGGTTTAGGAAGTGGATGAATCTCCTGCTTCCAAACTTGAATCAATCTTGAAATCAATTTGGGAACTTCACCAAACACTGTCCACAATGGGTAGTTATTATGGTGTTTGGCACACCTATGGTCCAGTTGTTCCATTATGGAATTTGAAACCCAAATGGTACAAGATTCAGTGTCACAGCAAACTCAGATTTCCTCGTCATACCAACTTGGCCAGAGTGTTGTATGACTTAGAAAAATGTTCCTCCACAATATGGTTAACAAGGGATTAAAATATGATCCTTTAGGCCCAACTTTTAAATATAAGGGCCCCCTAGAAGGTCTTGTTGACTCTAAACAAGAGGCTTAAAATAAAAATAAAACAATCCACACAGATTCTCAACCAAAACAGGAGCACCATCTTACAGACTCCAGTCACTTCATCCAACTCCAAAATGGAGGCAAGGGCTTTAGCATTATATCTTGTTAAGTGTCACCTAGTACCAACCCTATAACCAAAAGAACTACTGTCCTTCTTCTAAGTCATAGAGTTTCCACAGCCATGTTTAGGAAGTGGATGCCACTCCTGCTTTCAAGCCTGTTTTACCAATGAGCTCTGCCAAACATTGTCAACCATGTGTAACCATTATGACATTATAGCACACCATTCGCTATCATAAAATCCAAAGTTACCTCAATACAGAGAAAGGACATAACAGTGCTCTACCTCTTACGAGAATGTTCATTTCAAAGACAATTAAAACGAGGCCTGAGGGTCTGTGGCCCTCAGGCCCAAATGAATTTTCAAAGACCCCATGGCCTGCACCCTGGGCTCTCAAAAAAACCCCTTCCAGCCCACCAAATTCTTCAGAGCCAGTGCCCCACCAGCACACAGGGGGAAAAAAAACCCAAAACAACAAACCAACACTCTCCCCTCTAAGGCCACATGAGTTTCCAAAGACCAAAAGTGATTTTCAAAGACACCATGGCCTGCACCCTGGGCTCTCATTGGCAAAAAAAAAGGCTTCCAGCAAACCTATTGCTCCAGAGCCAGTCTCCAGCCAGCACAAAGAAAACAACTCTCAACCCTCTAAATCCACATGAATTTCCAAAAAGCCACATGGTCCTTACCTGATTAAGAAAGCTCAACCATACTAAAAGAGAAACTCCTCAGCATAATTAAAAGCATATACTAAATCAACAATTAAACTTTTTCTCAATAGAGAGACTGAAGAATGCATTCCATTTGCAAGATATCCTTTATCACCATTTCTGTTCAATATTGTATTGAAAATCCTACCCAAAGAAGTAAGGCAAGAAAAAGAAACAAGGTCATCCAAAATGGCAAAGATACCATTAATATCACATATAAGCAAAATACTACTGAAGATCATCCAAAAATAGCTGGAACAGAACAATGACAAGGAATTTCCAAAATTCAAGCTGGGATTGGAAGAGATCATGTCACTAGTGACCTCAATTGCTGCTGTCAGATGGATTCTGGCTAAAAATAAACAATATGAGAAGAATTTTTACCTGTGCTTTATGGACCCGTGACTGTGTGGATCAAAACAAACTATGGCAAACATTGACAAGAATGGGAATTTAATAACACTTGATTGTGCTCATATCATCTATACTTAGACCAAAAAGTTGTTCTCTGAGAGAAACACAGGAACACTGCATTATTTAAAAATACAAAGGGTGTGCATCTCAGAAAGAGAGGAAGACTGTCGATGAGATAGATCGATTCAGTGACTGGGGTAATGAGAGTAGGTGTGTGAGAAACAGTACAGGTAGCAACAGATAGAGCTGGTTTAAAGGCTATCGTAACAAGGTTGCTATGAGTCACAAGCGACTCAAAGGCACATTAAGCAAATAATTCATGAAGCTGAATACTGAAGAATGTGGCATCAGGATCAGAGGAAGCACTGGTGGTAGAAGATTAAACATCACAACTTTCAATCTGATTGCCTCTCAACATCAAGAAAGCAAAAATCCTGCCACTGATAGGCAATATTATGACAGAAGGGAGGGAAAAGACTGAAACTATCAACAGCTTGGACTTACATGGTTCCAAAATCTATATACTTGGAACCAGCAGTCAAGAGATCAGGAGACATACTGTACTGTGAATGTCCTTATTAAGGAATCTTTCCAAATTGAGGAGCAGTGATGACAGTTTGAGTACTAAGGGGTTTCTGATTCAGGCCATGGTCTATTCAGTCACTTGCTAGGCATCTGAGAGCTATACAAAGAATAAGGATGACAGAAGAAAAAAATTGATGCCTTTGAACATTGGTTTTGGAGAAGAATGCTGAATACTCCATGGACTGCCTAAAGAATAAAACAGATATATCTTGGAAAAGGTGCAGACAGAGTGCTCCTGGAGGCAAAGATGGTAAAGCTTCATCTTACATACTCTGGGCATGTTGCTAGGAGAGATTATTCCTTGGAAAGGGTCCTCAAATTCAGAAAGGTGAAGGGACAGCAAAGGAGAGAAAGACCCTCAGCCAGGTAGATTGAAACAGTGACTTTAGCAATGAGCTTTAGTGTGTCAGAGAGTGTAAAGATGGTACAGGGTTCAGGTTTACTACTCACAGGGTCACTATAAATCATATTGAACTCAACAGCACCTAACAACAACATACTGTTGTTTAGTACTATCAAGTTGGTACCAAGTAATAACTGGAACTGACTCTCCAGCGAGTTTTAAAAAGCTATACAAACTGCACACAGAGAGATTGCCCATCATTCTTTCATTTAGCAGCTGGTGGATTCAAACTATGTTTCTGAGTTGGCAGCACAACTCTTTTATCCTATATTTATTATATACATTTCACTGACTTCTATTCTCCACAGAACTCAAAGTAAGACATTCTCTTGTTATTCAACTCTAATTCATTCTTCAAATAAAATTCAGCTCACATAACATCTCCTGTGGGAAAATTCTCCCCAACCTACAGTAAAGTAGGTTCTTATATACTCTCATCATACATGTATTCTCAATGAACTCATTTTTTTTAACCAACAGTTTTGACAGGTATTCTGTATGGGGTTTAAAAAACTAAATAAGGAACTGAAGAAAATTTTATATGGGTTTCTCTGAGAATAAGCTCATTATTACAAACTACTGTATTTTAATAATTTTTGAAACACAATTAAATCTTATTAAGACAGCTAGGGAACTGTAGTGCCCTAGTGGTTAAGGAGTTGCGCTATGAGCCCAAAAGTAGACAGATTTAAATTCACCAACTGCTCACTGGGAAAAAGAAGAGCAATCTTCTCCCTACTGTAGGGTCAGTTATGAACTGGTTTCAACTCTATCATAATGAGTTCAGCTGAAGAATAATATGAAGTGCTTTTTTAAAAAATCAGAACATAAAGAGATAAATATCACTGATAAATATTAAGATAGCCATTCATGTTATTTCATTACCTGTTAAGTTCATCCAGACATAAGCACAGTGTTTCATAAGTTGTTAAAGCAATTTCACATTTACCCTGCTTTATTCGAATCAGTTCATTTTCTTTTTTGTTACCATGTAATATAGTAACTTTAAAATATCCCCAAGTATCCAATTCATCTCTCCAGTTGTAGAGGACTGAAAGAGGAGCGACTATTAAGAACATCTAGAAGAAGAAAAAAAAATTTTTTTAAATAAAATTTTCCCAAGCTGAAATCCTATGTATCATTTTTCTCTCATTTTGATGCTGCTATTCATTAGAATAAAGGCAAACATATAATTGGTCATATTAAAATTAAAAGTGTCTCAAAAGACATTTTTGCTTCTTTGTATTTTTTAGGTGTCACTGACTAACCTACAGTTGATAGTAACATAAAGAACAATAGATGGATATCTCCTCCAATTCTGCACCATCATGACAATCTCCATCATGTTCAAGTCCACTGCTACAGTTAGTGTCATTCCATCCTATCTTGTTGAGAATCCACATCTATTTTGCTGACCCTCTGCTTTTGCAGGCATCATGTCTCTCTCCAACTGCTAATGCCTGACAACCCACTCAAAAGTTGTGAGGCAAAACCTCATCCAAGCAGCACTATGGATGCGCTTACTACAAGAAGGATTTTTTTTTTCTTTCTGGCAATTAATGTATTCTCAATACTATACACCAACTACACAATTCAATACTATCAATTTGGCTTCAATCTTCCTTATTTGATGTCCAAGTTTCACAAGCATAATAAACAATCAAAAATATCATGGCTCAGGTCAGGCACCCTGGTCTTTAAACAGACATGCTGTTTGACAAGCACCTTAAAGAAGTCCTTCATAGGAGAGCTGACCAATGCAACACGTCTTGATTTCCTGCTACTACATGGCCTAGTGTTAAGAGCTGTCCTGCAATCTCAAAGGCATGAGGTTCAAATTCATCAGCTGCTCTGTAGAAAGATGGGCTATCTCCTCCTGTGTAATGACTGCCTCTGAAAACTCATGGGAGGGTCAGGTATAAGTCCATTCTAATTCAATGGGACACAACAGCAGCAGCAGTAACTTTAGCTGCATCTCTGTGCCAGAAAATCAAGAAGTGAGCTACCTAGCCAGCTGATGAGAACAGATGCACATTTATTCCAATTCCAAAAAAACATGATCTAGAAGAATGTTGCAATATTAAACATCATAAAATCACATGCAAGAAAAATTTTGCTGAAGATTAGTTGGAAATGGCTTCAGCATTACATAGACAGATAACAGCAAACTCCAAGTAATATTTAGAAAAAGCTGGGCACCACTGCTGATGTCAGATGGATCTTAGCAGAAAGTAGAGAATATCAGAAGAGTATCTATCTGGGTTTTAATGACTATGCAAATCTATCTGACTATGTGGATCACAGTAAATTACGGTTAACATTAAAAAGAATAGGAATTCCAGAAGACTTATTTGTTGTTTTGTGCTACTGAGTAACCAGTGACTCATAGTGACCCTATGCACCCTACCCTGAGCCAGTCTCACTATTGCTGACACACCTACCTGCATTACTGCAGTCACTGTGTCAATCCATCTCACCCATGGTCTTCTTCTCCCGCACCCTCCCACACATGATTTCCTTCTTGAAGGACTGATCTCTCCTGGCCATGTGCCATGTGAGACAGAGCATCAAAATCCTTGCCTCCACACAGTAACTTGGTTTCACCCTCTCCAGGACAGACCTATTTGTTCTCTTGGCAGTTCATTGTATATACAATAGTCTTTACCACCACAACTCACGATCATGGGAAAATATAATTGTGCTCACACAAAAGTTACATATAAACCTAAAGCTATATATAGGTTGTTGTGCAAACAGAGCAAGGGAACACTGTATGGTATCATATCTAGAAAGGGGGGGGGAGAAAGATGTGTGTCAGGGCTGTATTCTTTCTCCATACCTATTAAATCGATATGCTAAATAAAAAATAGAAGACGTCGGACCTTATGAAGAAGGATACAGTATTCAGGATCTGGGGAAAATTGATCAACCTGCTTTATGAAGATGACAAAACTATGCTTGCTGAGAGTGAGAAGCACTTGAAAGGAATGCTGTAGAAGATCAAGGACCACAGGCTTCAATAAAGACTATATCTCATTTTAAAAAAAACAAAGGTCTTCATAACTGGATCAATATGTAACAACAAAATGGATGGGGAAAAAATTAAGTGTCAAAAATTCCAGCTAGCCTGGGTCCACAATCAAACTCCTTATTACTAGCAGTCAAGAAATCAAGAGACATATTGCATTGGGAAAATGTGCTGTCAAGACCTTTCTAGAGTACTCTAAAGAGTAATGATATTAATAAAAAGAATACCAGAGAGTGCAGCTGTATGCTGGGAAAAAGTAGTTTCTATCTGTTCATCAGCACCATCAAGGTCCATCTCAAATTTTAGCAGAGACAGATGCAGGCTGGAGAGACTTCCCACCAAGCTACACAAGAGAACTGAGAAGGTGCCCTGATAAAAGTCGGCCCATAACTGGTAGAGCACAACTATCTTCTCCAGGGAGTTGGTGGTCTCTAGCTACTGTGCTCATCAACATCACAAAGGACAATTTCAAACTTTAGAAGAGAAAGGCAACAGTAAGGCAAGACTCCTGCAAGGTTGCAATGCAGTGAAAAAAGAAGCTGAAGGACCTTAGGAATGGGGAGCTTTCCCACTGCACAGGCCATGAAAGGACTCCTGGCATAGTGAGTTTCCCTTCCCCATGAAGAAAGCACTTTTAAGTCTTCAACTAATAAATAAAATCTTAATGATCAATAATTGTCAACAACCTACAAAGATACAACAGAAATGGCCTAACACATAGTAGAAAAATTTCAAATGTGAAGAAGGCAGCAGGTAGCTTCAAACAATGTGAAAGCACAAAATAAGCCTTCTCCTAAAAAATAGCACAGCATATTTTTTTCTATATTTTATTAATTTTCATAAAC